CCGGGAGGACCGTATGTTGAAGGATCTTAAGGAGAGGATCATTACTGATAAATAAACACAGACACTGTTCTAAAGTAGAATTTGTGTTTTTGTCTCTAAGGTCCCCAGGAAATCAGCAAGCAGCCCACGTAGCTGAGAACAGTCAGGCAACCCCTCCTGACCTTAGATTACTGCTAATGATAAGAGCTGGAAGCCCGGCTTCATCACGTGAGGGGGGAACTCGACCCCCTGAGGTTAGGGATGTACTTCATCTTTTGGGATTTTCCACAATAGATTTATTTTTAGCAGGAAAAGATTTAAAATCCCACCACACAGAGAACTTGTTTGCTTAAAGCAAGTTCTTCCTCAGAAAAAGAATTGAAAGAGGAGGTTTGAAACTGCCCTCTCTGGCCACAGGAGGTAATACCACTTTTGCAGAATCATTGAGTCCAGGGATGAGCTTCTGGGCACCTTCCTGAAAGACAATGAATATTCTGTTCCTAAAAATCCCTCAACCACTCATCACTCCTTTTCTTTTCACTTTTTTAATTGCCAGAGGTTGCATGCACTCTGTGCGCATGAGAGAGAGAGAGAGAGAGAGAACCCCCCTATGGGGGTAGCTATACCACAATCCCTTCTCCTCCATTTCTCTATTCTTTCTGGATTTTGCGCACACATGCATACGTACCTGGTGAGTTTTTCAAGCCACTAGAGCTAAGATTCAAACAGCAGTTAGCTGTGTGGGACCCAGCTCCCTTACCTTCTAGCCTAGAAGGTTGGTCCCATTGTTCCTTTTCTAAACTGAAGTAATCTAGGGCATTTTCTCAGAGACCGTTTTGTGAATTGACCCTCCCAGAAGCTGTGAGCCCTTGAGAAAATGCTACATAGTCAGAGGGGTCAGGGAAACACTGCCCACCTCATTTTCTCTAAACTTTCTTCCCGTGGACAGCCATGTGGGATCTGGCTCCCTTAACGCACTAGGCTATGGGACAGCCCTTCTAACTGATTTTTAAAAGTACATAAAATCTCTTCATTAGTAACCGACTTAAATCCTTTGAGTTAAGGTATTGTTTACTGGAAAATGCTCTGATTTCCCAGGGAGGAGTTAACATCTGAAGTCATTATCAATATCTTTGTTTGAATAACTTGCTCTTTTTCAGTGTGGGATCAGCTGAGATCTGGCTTTGGTGGAAGGAAAGGAGGAGAAACAGAGATAATGGGATAAAGGAAAGGGTGTGGTTGGAGGAGCTAAAGTATTTATTAAACTATTTATTCTTCAGTCTTCCACTTCTGTGGCAGGAGGCTAATGGGGACAATGTGACACCTGAGTCTCAGTTTCCCCTCTTACATATGACGTCTAGCAGAGTCAGCTGCTTAATGTCTAGGGATGAATGCAGAATGAACACATGGGGCCTCTTGTTTAAAAGAGAAGAAACAGAGCCAGCAGGTGGCATGGTGGTTAAGGCGCTAGACTCTCACATGGCCAACTATTTGAGTCCTGGACCCGGCAGCTTGAAACTCATGCTGGGCAGGTGTTCCAAAATCCTGAGAGGAGAATGGAGAAGAAGGGATTGTGACATTGCCATCCCTCCCAGAGAGTGATTTCTTGCTTTCTGTCTCTCTGGCAAGTGTATATGCCCTATAGCAAAAAAAAGAAAAAAAAAATACTCTCAGAAAAAAAAAGAGGAAAAACATTTTGCTTTTTCTCCTTAACGTGCCATAATTTTTTTTTTTTTTAAATTGCCATTTAGCATGTATTCTCTTGGGAATATGATCCTTTTGGGCATGTACAGAACTTCAGAGGGACCTGGGGGCCTGTTTTGGGACTTGGCACATGGGGCCTGCTAGCGCCATAGTCCCACACCGGCACCTGTGCCCTGCTAGAGTAGAGGACAGCAGCAGCCACTGGGTAGGGCGGGGCTGGGGAGCAAGCTGTGTGTGAGAACTGGGAAGGGACTGGGGGAAGTCAGGCCCACAGGCGTCATCTCCAAGCTGCCAGCGATGCTCCTCTGTCCCAGTGGCCCTCGCTTATAGGTCATGGAGATTAAATTGTGAAGCATTTCAAGACAGGGAGTATGCAGCACTAAACCCCAAGCTCAGGATGCCCCTCTGAGCATGGGGCCCTGTGGGGCTGCAGTGGACTCAGCCCCCTCAGGCAGGCCCTGCTCTACAGCTCTGCCCAGTGCTGCCCCATGCACCTGTCACCTGGTTTGGGCCTTCCTGACCTGCAAACCCTCCCTCTTCATCCCTGAGATGCCAGTACAGAATCCCTGAGATCTACTGCTGCTCTCCTGGGCCTCCATCCCTGCCATCGCAGGTTCCTTCTTCTTGAGGGGTTACCGAGGCAGCATCTGTTTCTGGACTTGTGCAGACTTTGGAGTGGGTGCAGCTGGAAAGTGGAGCCCAGAAAGAGAGGGGAATGCTCTATTTTTCTCTGTATCTACTGTTCCTGCTCCCCAGTTTTTGTCAAGAGGTTTCCCAGTCTATAAAATGATTATCTGTGCACTCTATTGATCTCTCTACCCTTTTGCAGAAGAATTACCGTAACCTTTCCATTGTGGACGTAGCAGAAATCTCCCTGTCTGCTGGTGGGAAGCCACCTAGGGCGTTGAATGCCCGCCAGGGCCGGAGCGATGTTTGTGAACAGCCAGCCTGGCTGCCTGCTGATTTCTCACTAGGAAAGAACAAGCTCTTGGTAGGAGGAAGAAGCAAATTGGGTAGCAAGATCCAGGACGAGGAGACCTCAAACAGAGGCTTAGTCCATGCAGGGTAGAAATCACTAATAGAAGGCACCATAGGAAACAGTCAAAGCTTGGAATCTGGGATTCCCAACCTGAGTTCAAGGCCAGGCCCAGACAACTTTCAAACTCTTTTCTTATCTTCAGAATGGGTATGAAGATAATTCATTGAGGTAAGGAGAACATGAGCTCATATGCAAAGAAAATGCTTCCCCAAAAACGATAAAAATATTTTCTGGCCTCGTGGGTGGTAACACAGAGCAAGAATGTAATTTATGAATGCAATACTGGTTTCCAGTGTTCCAGTATTATGGGTAGTATACTATTTTTAAGAACAAAAATGCTGGTATTTTTGTTGGTGCAAAATAACTGTTATTTTTATAATAGTAAAATAATAAGATTGAACTATTATAATTTACGTAATCCTATACTATTAGATACTAGTATGTTTATATAATATAAATAAAATGTAAAGATTACTATCATATTCTAATGAATTCTCAATACTGTTATTTCTAAAGTTGTAAAATGCGAAATCTGAATTATTCACATCTTGACACATACTGAGAGGAATATACTGTGTTAATATTTTTAATCAAATATGTATTACTGTTTATTAGTTTGTTAATCATTTTTTTCAAAGTATATTTGCCTATTTATTCTTTTAGCGAGAGATGGTCATCCCCAATATGGTCCCCACGCCAGGCACCACCCAGCCTTAGCCAGCCAGAATTTCTGGCACACACACACGGGCCAGCATGTACAGAGACATCCTAGGATGTGAACCCGGGTCCCACTCACGTGGTCTTGGCATGGTGGAGTATTGCTCCACAGTTGTGCCACTCCAGCTGGCCAAAGATGTATTATTTAGAAAACATTTGACTATAATCTTCCTTCATCCAAAACCTTCCAAAGCATCATATTTTAATTTTTATTCCCAGTTTCTAGTATTTGTAGTGAAGTTGGATATTATTTTTATATTGGTCATTACTACTTATGTTTATTAGTGATTAATTTAGTCTCCAGAGCCAGTTAAAATGGATAAAATATGGGAATTTGGTGTCAACTCTCATTTTTAAAAAATAATTATTTATTTAATTTTATTTATTTGTTAATTTATTTTAATCTAGCCAGACAACACACACACACACACACACACACACACACACACACACAGAAAGCAAGCCACCAGGTCTGGGACTTGAACAGTGGTCGGTTATGTGGGAGTGTCCAGGACCTTAACCATCACGGCACCTGTTGATCCCAACAACTCTCATTTTTGTGACCTAAGCAAAGCACATTATCTTTCTGAGCCACAGTTTCCTTATCTTTAAAATGGGAGTTAAGTGGACCCGTTCCCAGAGGCCAAGACTAATCTGCGGAGTGTTTTGCACAGACCTGGCCCGTGGTCGGCGCTCGGTGAAGACCGGCTCTCATTCCTGTTATTAGACGTCACTACCCACCCAGCTCTGAGAACCACCTAATTAGATGAATCACTCTACTCCCTGCTCCTCTCCCCTAGACAATGTTTAATCACTTGGTCTAACATCTCAATTACACAATGTTTGTAGCAACGGCTGTGGTGGCGAATTGAATTCTCTGATTAACTGAGTGTTACTGAGAAAACGCCTTTTGTCTTCACCTGGGCAGTCACACATCTTTGTAAAATAGACTATAATCTATTTTCCTGCCTTAGCAAGTAGGGCTAGAAACCACGCAGGTTCTCTGCCTCTGTAGTGACTCAGTGCCCCTTTCCAGACCCTGCTCAGTCCTGAGAATAGAAAAGGCAGAAGGTTGGGGTTGAATATATCCAGGTCTTAAAGGTGGTTCCCAGAATAAAACCCGTATCCACCTGTTAGTTCACTGGTTTCCTCTACCTTGAGAAAACCGAGAATCCCAAGGTACATGAATAGGCATGTGGTGGAGTGGGTGGGAAGAGGGGTGGGCAAGCTGACTTAAAAAACTAATTAAGGATTTTTGGCTCCCTGTGGTTGGATTTGGTTATTTGAGGGTTCCCTTTAGTTTGGAGTTTGTGGAGATGTCTGGCTCTGGTGGTACTCTCTGGACTTTGGATTCCACAGCCAGGTCGTCCCCTCAGAGGTGAAGCCCCAGTTCACAGTCCAGTGTGCTGGGGACAGAGGAGCAGGGAAGACTGGAGCTTCCAGAAGGTCCCTTGTGCACATATTCTAGCAACCAGAGAGTCACTTGGCCTGATTAATCAACACGTATGGTCATACGGTCGTGCTGCTGATTCACACGCTCTTATCCCATTTGCGTCTCCAGGATAACCCTCATTGCGTAGGTGAAGACTGAGGTTTAGAGAAGCTGATGACTTGTTGGAAGTGACTCAACGGCAGTTGGGCTGAGTTTTGGGTGAGTAAACTCCCAACCCTTTGGTCTTTAAGGCTGTATCTCTTTTACATTGCAAATGTGCCATGCTTAAATATGTTTGGATCATTCACTTAAATATGTTTGGATCATCATATGGAGAATAACATGTAATTTTTTTAGAGAGTTTTTTTTTTTTTTTTCTATAGGGTGCATGTACTTGCCAGAGACAGAAAGAAACAGATAGAAAGTGAGAAATCCCTCTCTGGGGGAATGGCCATGCCACATTCCCTTCTCCTCTCAGGATCTTGGGCATGCGCACATGTACCTGATGTGAGTTTTAAGCCACCGGGTCCAGAATTTAAACTGTGGTCAAACACATGGGAGTCCAGCAACATAAGCATTATGGCATCTGCTGGTCCCAGGAATAACTTTTTAAGTGCAATGAGTTTGTCCTATTAAGTGATATCAATGGGATAAATGGGAAGAGAGGGATGTAGGTAGTTCCTGGATTGGGACTCTGACTTGCCGGATGAGAGAAGAGGAGAAGGGAGGAACCCTAGCACCGCCACATACACGGTCATCCCACTTGATTGCTGCAAGCCAGTGGCTCAGGGATTATCAGCCCCATTTAACAGATGACAAAACAGAGGCTCAGAGAGGTTAAAGAGTTTTTGTCTGCAAGGCTGCTCTCAGCGTTTTGTCCTTGAAGCCTATACTTTTCTGTTCGACTTTGCTGCTCTCTATGAGGACATAGGATATCTCGTGGATGTACAAAAGGGGTTGTTAGAATCCCAAGTGATCTGCAGGAACCCAATTCAAGTTTTGCTCTTAGTTGTCCAAGGCCTTGTGGCTGGGGAAATACCCACAGCTCCCACATTCCCACAGATGTTACCAAAACATTCTAGGGTGTAAATGAGGAAGCGGATTATTGATATTTTTGGTATGATAAAAATATTGTAACACAAACAGCAGCAGGAAAGTATAACCACCACATCCAAACTTCAGCCACAGAAATGATGACCATTGGGTCATTTCCTGAGCCCAGAGCTGGGTTGGTGTCTCCCAGCTCATACCAGGTCATACCACTGAGCCCCAGTGACACAGAGGGACCTGTGGGTGGGCTCTGAGTCCCTGAATCTGAACTTCTGAATCCCCTGGGTTCCCTGCCATTACTGCTGGGCTCCAGGCAAACAGAAGGTGGCCATGACTCTCTGGTGTGTCTGGGCGGCCCCCAACGCTCTCCCTCTGAGTGCCAAGAACCAGCTGTCCCAAGATGACTGATGTCAGCTCCTAAGTGTTTGTGGAAGTGCTGGGCCTGCCTTCAGTCCTTCGGGCCTCACGTACATATTTCACTTTCCCAGCAACACTAGGCGTACCACGAAGAGGCCTGTTTTATCGGCGGGGAAACTGGGACTTGGGGAAGGCAGCTCCCTCGAGGGTATCTAGTGACTGAGTGGTAGGGGCAGAATTTGAATTTTGTCCTTTCTCTTACAACAAAGTACCTGTGGTTCCCCTATTTCTGATTTACGTAACAGAGTGGCGGGGCACCCTAGAATCACCTCGGGGGCTCTGAGTTGTTTACTGTGGACAGGAGCCCACTTTGGGGGGTCTGTTTAAGTGAGTGATGGGGGGGCTTGACTCTGCACTTCCAAAACAAGTTCCTTGGCACCAGCCTGCGGGGGTGAGCAGAGGCCCTAAGAATCAGTGTTCCTGCAGATGTCCTCAGTGGACTTTGATGCCCCCTTTCTGGCAGCCCACTTGGCCCCTGGCCAAGCCCAAGGCAAAGAGTGATTTCTAAATTTGGGGTCTGTTCCTGGCCTCGGCGGATGAGCTTACGTTTCTTCTCTTGGAATGGTGTCTGTGATCAATGTGTTTCATTGTCCAGTTGACTGGGCTACCATCCTGGGCTACCTGATTCAACACCAGTCCAGATGTCGTCATTTGTAGGCATGATTATCACCACCATTGGCTGGCTTGACGTTGAGGAGATGACCCTTGATAACATGCTTGGGTCTTATCTAATCAGTTGAAGGTATGAAGAGTAAAAACTGAGACTTCTCAAAAAAGAAGAAATTTTGCCTCCAGACTGTAGCATTAACTCTTGCCCAAGTCTCTAGTCTGCTGGCCTGTCCTAGGATTTGGGAGTTGTCTGTCCACACCATTGCATGAACCAATTCCTTAAAACCTCTCTCTTAATACATGTACGTACGTATGTGTACACAACTCAGCCAATGAATACGATGTTCTCTCCGCCCTCAAGGAGCTCACAGTCCACCAGTTATGAAATCAGTAGGGGCCTTATCATTTATGGATCGCTTTTGCCTTCATGCTCTCCTTTAAATCCTCACATAAGCCTCGGAATTAGAAATGTCAACCATTGTTCTGCTAAACATGAGAAGATGCAGAGACATCCAGAGCCTCGCCTGAACACAGCCCTGCAGGGGCCCAGGCTCTTCCCCCACAGCCTTCTTTTCCTGCACTAGGCTCCTGTCCCCCCACTTCCACACACACACCAAGCTCCTGGTTGTAATCCCTCACTCCCTTCTCTGCATTCCGTTACTACTTGTTTATGTTTCTCTTTTGACACATTATATCATATCTCACATTTCCTTTATTTGTTTACATAGTTTCTTTTCTGTATTGTAAGCTTCTCAGGGGCAAGATACAATGCTTTCTTCCACAAACATTTATTCAGCACTTACGGTGATATGAGCAGATTTTCCCTCTGCAGTGATTCAGCGTGCTGATCCTAGAATGCCTCTGCTGGGCGTCCTGGCTTCCTCAGTGTGTGTCTGTGGGCCAATTACTCAACCTTTCTGATCCTTACCTCCCTCGTCTGTAAAATGGGGATGGGGAAGTGCCTACCCCTTAGGGTGACTGTGAGGGATAAATGAACTGATTTACAGTAAGTGCTTAGAATGGTGGCAGGCACTCAGAAATATTAGCTATTGGTAATAATAACTATTTTTTTTTTATCAGCATCTTAGGGAAAAGTAAATATTGGGTTGTTGGAAAAGTTATGCATTTTTGCACAGAAAAACAGAAAGATATGTCATGACTTTTCCAATTCGACCCAATATTTCTGGAAAGAATGAGTGAATGTGATTTTTAAAACTATAGAACAATACCTCCTATAATGTTTGCTAGAGAGCTGGAGTACCCAAGTTGGCAATGAGGCAAAATTATTCTCCGAGCAGACATGGGTCCTGGCCCCAGCTCTGTAGCTAACTGGATATACGTGTGTGGGGGCAAGTCATTTTATCTCTTCATGCTCTGGTGCCTAACTCTCAAAAAATATATTGCAGGGACCAGCAGATGGTATAATGGCTATGTAGTTGAACTCCCATGTAGTTGACTGCAGTTCGAGTCCTAGACCTGGTGGCTTGAACTCACACCGTGCAAATGTGCATGCATGCCCAAGATCCCGAGAAGAGAATGGAAGAGAAGGGATTGTGGCGCAGCCATCCCCCCCGGGGGGTGATTTCTCACTTTCTGTCTTTCTGGTGATCTCCTAAAACAAAAACCCCCCCCCCCCCCAAAAAAAAAAAAAAAAAAAAAAGCATATGCAGTATAGGTTCCGTTTAGCCTAAATGCCTGACCTGTTCCTCATACCTGTCTGCCTTGATATGAGGTGGGCACCAAGGACCCTGTCTGCCCACGTGGTCCAGAAACATGCAGAACATAGCGCCAAGACCCAACTCTGACTGCTGGGTCTAAGCTCTGGACTTGCTGGCTTTGGTTATTAGCAATGAGGATCCTGATACCAGATTTATAAAGTCAGCATTTGCTGAGTGGTCTATTGTGATGGGCTCAAAATAGCCTCATGCCTCCGCGTGGGGTTTCAGGCCTTCTCCGAATATCCAGTAACTTCGTACTCAAAACATCAGCCAGCTATTGTGTAAGTCCAATGACGGCAGGTTCTTGCTACAAATCCTGAAAGCTGTCTCTTGGATACCCTTAACGTATTCATAACATTGGTATTTATGTATTTATCTCTGAAAACCATAACCTTGGAAAAAGCATTTAGGGGAAAGAAGGCTGTAGTGATTAAAGAAAGCTCTGTTCATTTGAACAACATTAAATACAACTGGCATAATGACAACTGTGAGATCTGATAGAATATAGAGAAGGCTGCAAATAAAGGGCTTGTATTTTTCCCTGATGTAACATAATGGTCACATTTTTCTTTCACAATGGTTTTGCCGAGATAAAGAACAAATTATACTGATTTGATTGCTACTTAGAAATACTTAAAATTGAAAAAGACAGCAGGTGGGCCTGGTTAGAAAGGATGGTTATTTTAGCATAACAGATGCATGCATAAAACATCGCCCAGCCAATTTTTTAATCATAAGACCCCCCAAACTTTTTTTTTTTTTTTTTACTACTCTTCCTTGGGATGTGAGCAAGTGGCAAAAATCTCTAGGCACTGCTTGAGGGCATCCTCTGAGCTCAAAGAATCAGCTGCCCCCAGAGAAGCCTAGGGGAGGGTTGAGTTCTGGAGTGAGAATGAGCCCAAGGCCTAGTAGACTGCAGAGCAGGGAGGCAGGGTTGACCTCAAAAGATGACAGGACCTCGGAAGCCAAGGGTTGAGCACACGTCGTTCCAAGGCACAGGGAAAAATGCTCTCCTATTTTATATTATTTATTTTTAGTTTGCTATAAGACCCGTGCACTCACTGAAGAGAGAGAGAGTGAAAAAAATAAATCATCCCTCAAGGGGGATGATTCTCCTTCTCCTCCATTCTCTTCTCAGCATTTTGGGCATGAATGCACACATGCCTGGTGTGTTTTTCAAGTCACTGGGTCTGGGACTTGAACCATGCCACAGGCCATGTGGAGTCCAGTCACCTTAACCACCACACCACTGCCTAGCCCATTCTCCCCTTTATCAAAATTATCTCCCGAGTGCTGAGAAAGGGGTGTGTTTGGCTTCTCAGCCTCTCATGCATTATTGGGCCTTCTCTTTCTTAGCTGGCAAAAGCCAGGACACATGAAACCATCCTGCTCGGCTTCCAGTTTCTCTGCTTCCAGTTTCTCTGC